AGGGAGGTATGCCAACGAGAGAAGGGAGGCACTAAGAGTTAAATTCTTTATAGGATGATGGCCAAGGGGGATGTAGTCCGGGCTGGTTTCTCCCCGCAGCCTGCCCTTCATCCATGCCAAGGAGTGGCTGAGGCGACAGACGTGGATATTTACCAGGAGAGGTTCACAGTAGAACCACTTTGGGAACACTTCAAAGTACTGGTTCCCAACCCCCAAATGGGGATACTCTGACGTAATGGGTCTGGAGGTCTTTAAGTTCCACCGAAGTTTCTAATTTACTGGGTAGCAGCCCCTGCTGTGGATGGTTGCTGAATTCAGAGACGTTCTTGGATGCCTGGGGATGTTGGGCACATTTCTGGACTGAGTCATCATCGCTGGGAGAGAGTCGATTCATATGGTGCACGGCCTCCAACAGGGCAAGGGGCATAAAGAACGCAGTGTGTCTGCGCTCGGATGGTCACCATTTAGGTGAGCTGGCACGAGACTTCAGCGTGGCTGTGGAGGTCCGTGTTTAAATGGGGGTGGGCCTTCTGGATGCCCGTGAGACATGTGTTTGGGTTGCGTGTCTGAGGTGTGGGTGATGTAAAATTCCTGAAAGTGGATCTCATACAGGAGCTAGAGAAACATGTCTGAGAATGAATACTAATTTAGAATGGTGTGATGTTAACCAAAGTGGGGGGGCGGCAACCACTTTTGTTTTTTAGCGTGTCTATTAGAAATGCAATCATATGCTAAAGTCTGAACTATATTCTTTATGTGTGATGGATAATTCATCTGACTTCAAGTCCAGGGTAGGAGAAGAGAGGAAGACAGCCCACAGAGCGGCTGGAGGATAGCGGGCGCTGATGGGGCCCCTTTGGATGATGCTCCCACTCTGTGCTCAGACACCATCTAGGAAAAACTCAGTTTCCTCCACTCGTGCACTCACAATACTTCCGACACCAGCTGTGTGGGTTTTCTGCATCCAGAAACTCTGACACAAACTGCCTGGAGTTGGTGCAGACCCCTCAGGTGAAAGGGCTCAGTCCCACAAGACTCTCCCCCTCTGGTGCAGACGTCAAATGCAAACAGAAGGTCTACAACTTCTGTCTGAATTGGCTACAAGTCAGAGGTTCCCACCACCCCCTCCTTGGATTTGATCATTTGCTAGAGCGGCTCACAGAACTCAGGGAAACCCTGACTTACATTTACCAGTTTATTATATAAAGAAGGGTATGATGAGAGATACAGATGAAGGGCCAGAAGAAGAGATACATAGGTGAGGTCTGGGAGGGTCCCGAGAATGGGAGCCTCTGTCCCTGTGGGGTCAGGGCATGCCACCCTCCCAGTATATAGACGTGTTCACTGACCCAGAAGCTCCCCAAACCGCATACTTTGGGGGTTCTCATGGAAGCTTCATCACATAGGCATGATGAATCATGAACTCACCCTCCAGCCTCTCTCCTCTTCCCAGAGGACAGCAGGTGGAGCTGAAAATTCCAGGCTTCTAATCAGGGCTCAGTCTTTCTGGTGACCAGACCCTATCCAGGAGCCCCCCCAGAGTCACCTCACTAGAACAAAGGACATTCCTAGCACCCAGGAAATTCTGAGGGATTTAGGAGCTCTGTGTCAGGAACCAGAGTCAGAGACCAAAGCCTGGAACCAAAATGCCCCCAGTGCTCTTATCATGCTCTTAGAAAATGAGGAGGACTTTGGGACCCCTGTGCCAAGAGCCGGGGGCAGAGACCAATACGCGTATTCTATTATCTCACAGATACAGATGCTGTTGGAAGTTTCAATTTGAGGATTCTTAGTAAAAGATTCTGAAAATGCCTTCCCCCACTTTCCTTACCTTTGGTGTTTATAAAGCAAGCAGATCTGGACCTGAAGCAGGGACAGGGCCCTCCCCACTGCTCGCTGGCCCGCCTGCCCCACCCCCACGAGCGGCTGCATTCCTTCTGACTACAGGCACAGAAGGGGGAACGTGAGGTAAAAGACCGGGTGAGATGCACCTGCCCGGGACAAGAAAGTCTTGGGTCAAGGATCTACCCTCAGCTAGACACGAAACTCCTCAAAAGCCGATCTCCTTTGAGGAGAAACCAAGGGATGGCTCCTGACTACACTCCCCTCTTGGTTAGAGGGGCTGCGGACCGAAGCAGGGGATGCCCGAACAACATGGTGTCCTCCAGCCCCCCGCCGCTTTCCTTGGGTGAAGAGTGATGGCCAAACCAGGCCACCAGAGGGGAGCTTCAGATAGAAACCCTGGAAATATTCCCCAGGAAGAGGGATGGCCTCCACCCAAAGGAGATGGACGCGGGGACTGGGGCCTCCCATTTCAGAGTTGTATACACAGCCAAATACAGCCGCCCTCCCGCCAACACCAGCCCTGGCTGCCACAACCAGCATGGCAGAGGCCGCCCCACATTGCGTTCCAGGGTTTAGAATGATCATCATTATCAGAACGGGTATGATTAAGCCCTTCCCAGGCTCCAGAACACATTCGTGTCCAATATCTCTTCAAACAATAATACTGAAAAATATTGCCCTTATTCCCACGTAACAAATACAGAGGCCAAGGTGCAGGAAAGGAAAGCAACCCTGCCAGGAGTAAAAAATAGAGCCAGAACCTGAACTTAGTTTTTCTGACTCTAAATCCTAGGCTCCTTGCATAACAGAGTTAAGTATTTTCCAAGCGCACAGAGATGCCCACCTGCAGCCCCCTTCTGGCACCCAGATAAATACTCAGCCATGTGCAGAGACGCGATCTCCAAGAGACAATCCACGCTGCCCCCCTTGCCTGACACCTTCACCTCCTGGTCATGGAGGGAAATGTGGAATTCGACTGGGGAAGTAACCAAATGTGTGTGTGGAGGAGTGAGGGGGGCACTATCACCACGAGACGTGAAGCCCAGATTTTAGCTCTCATCACAAGGTCTTGTGTAACAATGTGAGGATACAGAGGGTGACTGAACTTAGTGAGTTGATCACTTTGCAATGTATACAAATATCCAGTCATTATCTCCTATGTCTCAATTTAAAAAAATAAAAGGCAAATGATTTTTTTTAAAAAAGGGGCACAGGTCTTAGAGTCAGGCGTACATGAATTTCAAGCTGATTAGCTGCATTTCCTTGAGCAACTCTCTCCACTTTGCTAAGCCTTAATATCCTTACTTATAAAAGAGGAATTGTCTTACAGAACTGTAAAAATCCATCAAACATATAAAGAAAGTTCTGAATATGAAGCCTGGTGATGATAGTAAGTACTCAGATGTTAGCTTCTTTATTTTCTACACACACACAACCAAATAGACTTCACCCTCAACAAACATGGGTTTAAACTGCGTGGGTCTGTTAATCCAGATTTTTTTCAATAAATAGAGTACAGAACTGCTAATGTTTTTTTCTCTTCTTTATGATTTTCTTGATAATATTTTCTTTTCTCTAGCTTCCACTACTATATAAATACAGCATATAATGTACACACATATGCATGCATGTAGCATACAATCTACGTGTTCACCAGCTATTTGTTATCGGCAAGGCTTCTGGTCAACAGTAGGCTATTCAGGGCCGCCTGGGTGGCTCAGTCGTTAAGTGCCTGCCTTTGGCTCAGGTCATGATCCCAGGGTCCTGGGATCGAGCCCCACATCTGGCTCTCTGCCCCGCAGGAAGCCTGCTTCTCCCTCTCCTGCTCCCCCTGCTTGTGTTCCCTCTTCTCGCTGTGTCTCTCTCTGTCAAATAAATAAATAAAATCTTTAAAAAAAAAAAAAAGTAGGCTATTCATAGTTAAGTTTGGGGGGAGTCAAAAGTTATATGTGATTTTTTGATGGTGCAGGGGTCTGCGCCCTGAACCCCTGTTGTTCAAGGGTCAACTGTATGACCATAGATGCCATGAGCTGATGAACCACCATTAGCATCCTCCCGTTAGGTAACTAAGGTCCTTGAGGGGACTTGTTCATTAAAGTGCCTCCATTATCTCAGCCATGAAACGAACAAGAAATTAGAGGCAGGTAGTGGAAGGAGCACTAGATTGGCAGCAAAGAAAGCCCCAGTTTCATTTCCAGCCCCAATACTGGAGCCCCACCACCGCGCTGTGCGTCCCTGATCATGTCAGTTCCTTGCTACCATTTCCGACATCTGCAGAATGAGGGGCCAGATGGGTCTCTCAGGCTCTTCCCGGGGCTCTAACTCCGTGTTCCTCTAGGGAGAGGGCGCGGAAAGCAGTCGGCAAAATGGTGCTGACCCCCCACTGGCTTGAACGGTGTGAGCTCCCGCCTCAAACCGCCAGCTGGCCAGAGAGTTTTTCAGCCCACTTGGAAAAACTCTCTTTCTCCCTGGTTGGGACTCTGGAACCTCAGCCAGGACGCAGAGGTCCCAACTGCAAACCGTCCCAAGTCGCTGGATAACAAAGGGAAAGGCACCCCGGGCCAGCCAGGCGGGGTGGAAAGCACCCCCTCCACGCAGGCCCCCTCCAAGCCACCCCAAACCTCCCGGTGAAGGCACCCCTCGTCCCAAGTTGCCCCTCGCACAAGGAAGTCAGCGACACCACTGAGAAAACAAAAGAACAAAAAGTTGTCCTCTCCAAAACTCGGGACCCTCAAACACCACTACTAAACGCCTAAAAACCTTGCTCCCCCGCTCCGCTTTGTCCACGCCGAAGGAAACCAGCTCTGCAATCGGCCTGTCCTGCCTGCCAACAGTTTCAACCCTGCTAAGGCTGTTTATTGGACCTTGCAGCTCTGTGGATTCGTCTGTTTTGATCCCGTCTTCTTTGGTTTAGTGTTCTTTATTCTTCCCTCTGTAAATATAAATCCAGGACCACCCCACCCCCGACAAAAAATGTGAGATCTTAGATTTCTCGAGTCTATGGTGCCCCATTCCCTTCCCTTCCTCGCCTGGCTTGAAACCCCCTTCTGCCTCCTTTTTGAAACTTTTCCTGAGACATCAGAAGCATATTCAGAGCTTTCGTTTTTAGAAAAGAAACAAAAAAAAGGAAAGAGAAACAAAAACACATAACTTACGTTCATCCAGGAGTACACAGATTTGGAAAGAAGAAAACAGAGTTATAATCCACTACGTCCTCCCAGTCCCCCCCAAAAAAGAATTTGTTGTGAAGCGCTTCTTTTTCTACTTCGCCGGTGAAGGAGCCCGGCGGTAGGCATACATCCACAGGCTGATGCAAGATGCTTTGAGAGAAACCTCACATTCTGAGGATTCCTGGGAGAGCGCCAAGGATCCCAGCATCCAATATATTGCACATTTGGTTTCAATTAGGAAGGGGGTTGGGGAGGGAAGAAGGAAAGTCACCAATCAGAGCTGTTTTCTGTTTAGAGACTTATTTCTTTTGACCCAAGGGACCATGGGCAAAGCTATAATTTACAGCAAAACCCATTCATAGAAGAAAAAATACGTATAACCATAGGACAGAATTAAAGACATAGCTCTCTTCCGCCTTGTCCCCACCGCATCCATCCCCAAGCCCTCCCCCACCACCTAAGACTTGATCCCCACCCTGTGCCCCCCCAACCTCATTTTTCTTACTTGGGCTGAAGTTATAAGCACAACTTAAGGTTTGGATTCTCTTCCAGTTGAAATTTCCAGGACAGTTGGGTCACACACATGGAGTTGATCTTTAGTGTTTTATCCCTGAAAGCCCAGAGCTGAGCCCTCCCCCAAAAAGATTTGACTTAATCCCTCCCCCCACTCCCTCTCCTACCAAAAAAACTGGACAGTTTGCGGGTCTAGGATTCCTATTTTTTTTCCACTCAATTCCCAGTTGGTTGTTGCCTCTAAGGGTCTATTGCTGTCCTGGATTCGTGCTGCCAGATGGAAACACAAGCGTGTACAAGGACTTTCAAAATTATTTTGAAAAATCTTTTTTTTTTCCTTCCCCCCCCCACCCCGCTCCTATCCGTGGCCATGGCCAGAAATCATGTGAAAGGGGAGTGTTGGACGACAGTGAAAAGCCCTTCCTCGGCAACCTCAAAGATACCTAATAATCTTCTCCATCCATCAAGGCTCCTGTCCTTAACCCTTCCAAGCCCGGATCACTTCACACCAAACCCAGGCTTGGGCCACCCTGGAGCTCCTGGTTGTCTGTGAGCACAGGAAGGCAGGGCAAGTGGAGACTCAAGGTCAAGGGATCTGTGGAGGAGGGTAGATGGCAACAGAGAGTTGATGAAGACTTAACCCACCCTTGAGAGGCGGGCCCCTCCCAGGGAGACTTCCTTCCCCTGGGCTCTCGAGCTATCACCATCTCTTCTCTGCTGGTGCACAGGCAGCCACTCTGGGATTGCAGAGCCCCCGAGAGGAGCGAGAAAAGAGGCACACAGGAAAAGGAGAGGGAAAGGGGACCATGGAAGGACATTCTCCCAGTAAGTGTGGAGCAGAAGATACTTCCTAAGAGGGATGGGGAGGGAGGAGACCCCCCCCCCCAGGATGGCCGGGAAGAGCCATGCTGTCCGTGGTAAGTCCTCACAAGGCCCTTACGCTCAGTCAGAAGGTGGCCGCTCGTGGCTGTGCCTCACACAGAAGAGGACACAGAGAAGCTGGAGGTGGCTCCAAGGGCAGCCACAGAGAGGACCATGGGCAGAAAACAAGACCTAAGAGAAAAAACTAGAACTGGGGCTATTTTACAAAGAGGCGAGATCAACCTCGTAAGGAGGCTCTTCTTCAATTAATTTTGAAATTCTGAGGTCAAGTCTAAGGGTGACTCAGTCCAGGACGCTTGGCTTAACTCAGTAAATGTACATTGAGCACTTGGGGGCACTTGGCTGTGTGCTTGCTCAAGACAACTCCACACATCTGGTTATAGAAAGGGTCCTAGAATCCTCCGCAAATATCTCTGTCTATAGTAGTTTCCCTCTTTGGCATTACCATAAAGAACGCACCCATAGGATGACCTATAATTTCACAGACGTGGTGAGACCACAGGTCAAGTGTGGAAAACAGGGTAATAATTTCATAAATCGGGAACCTAGTAAAGAAGAGCTACCTATAAGGATGTATCCCCAATCACCAGTATCTAAGGTGGTTCTGCTCCATTGGCAGGATTTTTTGTCCACATGTGTGTATAACTAGGATTCCAGCTTGAGCCAGTGACGGTGATTCCAGAACCCAGACACGGCGGTGTGCGTTGAGGAAGGACGGGCAGCTCTGTCAAGTGTCCACTGGCATGTGGACAAAGCAGACTCCTGGGAAGAATTAATTTGCTGAGTGAAGTGAGTACCAAGGGATGAAAGAGAGTCCCAAGTACAACAAAGCTGTGTCAAAAGTGAGGAGGAGCTCTAAGGAAAATACCATGTCTATCACTCGGGTTATTCTCGGCCAAATCTGGGGTCTAACCTTGAACTCTAAGAAGATGCTACCAAAAAAAGAAAAGAAAAAAAAGGCAAGGAAAAGCTGAAAATGATGTTTTACCAAAATATTTGGGGGACATTTAAAGCATTAAAAGGAATTATCAGATTGAAGCCTCCTTTTCTGGAAGACAGTTCAGGTTGGGGGAGAAGGGTATGTTTCCTCAGGCCTGGCGACAGCCATTGCTACAGGAAGCGCGGCTGGAAGGAAAGAAAAGGCAAATGTCACTTCAAAGCTGAGAGGAGTAATTCGTGGAATACACAGAAAAAATTTCTTGGAGACTCTCAGAACTATTTGATAGAGTTTTAAGTAAGGCTGAAATTCCTAAAATTGTGGGAACAGATGTGAAGAAATACCATTTTGCTACTCTTGTGTGAACAGATTTTGCCCCCTGGTTTGGCTGGGGAAACATGAGTCATTGCAATCAGAATTACTTGTGTTGCACGGGAGGTAATACATCCTAGTTACGAGGGCTGTTCTACATTAAAAATGAATTACTACCAAACAGTATAGAATTCCACTACCTGGACTTTACTAAAAATAGGAGGGATCTATCTGGAATGGGCAAGATACAGTATTAATTAGAAGTAAGGAAATGTGCAACAATGAATCATGGAACACTGCATCAAAAACTAATGATGTAATGTATGGTGGTTAACATAACAATAAAAAAAATAAAAAAAAAAGAAGTAAGGAAATGTGCAAGATGACTTTTCAAGATCTTTTCTAGTCTACAAGCCAAAGTTCAAGTAAATACAAGTGTTAAAAATTGAAATAACTATGGTATTCCTGTCTCCAAATGGCCAAGGGTTGGACACCTTTGTGATGCTTTAGGAAATAAAATAGAAGATGGAAGTAAAGAGTGTCACTAATTTAGTTTAAGACACACACACACACACGCACATCTTAAAAAACTATAGGAGTAGTCACAGAAACCAAACCCAATTGGTATAGTTAAACTTCACGAGGAATTAAAAGTACAAGTTAGCCCCCCGTAACCGGTTCCTATTTAACTGCTTTCTCTCCTCACCTCTCTCTCTCTCTCTCTCTTTCTCTCTCCTGCTTATCCCTATACATCTTGCTTTAACCTATTGTTTTTCAGCAGATCAGGGTTTTCTGATTCTTTCATATGTTACTGAAGATGGTTACCCTAAAATGATGCCTTAGCTCTCAAATGTATAGCTCCTTACTTTATTTTTTTAAGACTTTATTTATTTATTTGAGAGAGAGAGAGCACAAGCAGAGGGCAGGGGGCGGGGGGAAGGGCAGAGGGAGAAGCAGGCTCCCCACTGAGCAAGGAGCCTGACTCGGGACTCGATCCTAGGACCCTGGGATCATGACCTGAGCCAAAGGTAGTGGCTTAACCGACTGAGCCACCCAGGCATCCGTATAGCTCTTTATTTTAAATGAATAGGAGAGAATGACTAGTATTATTGAAGACCAGTTCCAGAACCCTGAGAGGAAGAATTTGATTAGTCAGGTGTGTTTCATGTACTCATCCTCTATTTCTAAACTGGAAGGCCATGGGTCATGACATAGGAATACCACTCCATTCCGCTCACAAGGGGGTCAGTTCTCAGAAAAATGGTGTCAGACGTTAGAAAACAGGTCAAATTATCTATTTCTTTAAAATCCTGGATTTTAAAGAAATTATACCTCACCAACCAAAATCAGAGAACGCTGTACACAATGGAGTCATATGGTATTTAAGCACCAATTTTAGAACCTAATCCTTAAAATAAGATGCCTTGTTATTGGTTAATCTGTCCACAATAGACAAATCCATTGCCATATATTAAGTATAAAAGCTTAGTTTTTTTAAATCGATATGGAGGAAATCTTGTAGGCAATAGAAATACTTTGGTTTTCTTTAAAGCAGAATGGTCTAAATATCCAGACAGCTGCATATAGACTTTCCTTTGGTATTTTTCCTGAGTTTAGCTCATCACTTGAGAATCTTAGTGTGTTTAAGAATTATCCTTAGGGGTGCCTGGGTGGCTCAGTCGTTAAGCGTCTGCCTTCAGCTCAGGTCATGGTCCCAGGGTCCTGGGATCGAGCCCCACATCGGGCTCCCTGCTCTGTGGGAAGCCTGCTTCTCCCTCTCCCACTCCCCCTGCTTGTGTTCCCTCTCTCACTGTGTCTCTCTCTGTCAAATATAAATAAATAAAATTAAAAAATAAAAAAGAACTATCCTATAAAGCTATGTCCATAGAAGCATGAATACTGTCTTGGTGAGTAATTTGAAGGTCTTTCAAAGATGATCTTAACTCTAAGAAATTTTTCCCTTTCTGGGCTGGGTTCTAACCCTAAGGCTACCCGATGCTTCTCTTCTGTGACAGACATTAGTAAACAATGATCCGAGTTCAAACTCCTAGTAAGCAGAGCCACCTTGGACAAGTCACCAACTTTTTCATCTATAAGATGGGGGATAATACCAACTGACAACTCACAGGGTTGTGAGGATAAAATGAAAACAGGGGAGAATAATTTATTGCGTTTTTACTATATGCCAGGCACTCTTCTAAGAACTTTTAACTTCTTATTTCATTTCTCACGAGAACTTTATGAAGCAGGGGGGATGGGGGGTACTATGATTTCCGTTCAAGGAAACTGATGATGCATGAAAAAGTTAATGTGCCCAAGGTCATAGCTGGTGGAGCTAGAATATGTGTGCGCATTATATGTGCTTTGTTGACAGTAAAGTGTGTGTGTTTATGTGCTGAGGAGGAAAGATGTAGGGAGGGTAGGAAAGAGTCCATTCATTCGGGGCGCCTGGGTGGCTCAATAGTTTGAGTGTCTGACTCTTGATGTCAGCTCAGGTCATGATCTCT